CCTCCGGCTTTACGTCCTATTCGAGAAGACGAAGCAATGCGAGTGAAGCGTCTTGCTTAAGGACACAACGTCAAACCCCAGCCAGGACTTGAACCCGAGCCATCTGACCCAGAGTTCAGCGTTATAAGATATTACCGCTCCAATAAAAGTTGCAATTGTTGCCCAATTCATTCTGTTTGGGAGCGGAGCATCTAATTTTTGAGTTTAGCTTGTATCTAGTTTATATAAACATCCAAGTCACTCCGTTTCCGTGCAAAGTACGTATTTGCCAAATATCTTGTATAAACTTCATCGCGAAGTGGGTTCCGTTTTCATAATCCATTCCATATGATTGCTGGAGCTCTAAGCATAACGTCATAGCCGCTGCTCGACGGTAAATACGAGATAAACAAATCGTTTTCTTTCCAAAACGCCGCCATTTTGATGAGGAATATCCTTGGCGTTAAATCTGCGCCCTGTTAACAAAGAGAGACTGGAATCGAAATTACGGAAGGGTCCGTGACGGCGACTTTGTGATTGTAGATGTTTCTTTTATTTGTGGCGATTAATCCACAGTATAAATTCGGCAACAGATGGAGATTTCAGTGGAACGGTAATACCTTATAACTTTGGTTCTTGTCTTAAGTTCCATTTCGCTTTTTCGCCATTTCGTCGTTTCGCCATTTCGTCATTTCGCCATTTCGCCATTTCGTGTTTTAAACACACCCTTCAAATTGTCCGCCGCTTTTTTTTTTCGTAACTACAATCCAATTCTTCGCTTGCGCGAAGCAAGAAAACCTGTTTAACCGGTACTCTACAATTGACGAGTACAAATACCGCGTGATATTTGTACTCGTCTATGGCGTTATTTGTACTCGTCTAAGTGTAGTTGGATAGTTAACAATTATTTAAAAAATGCTCCCAAGGTATTAGACAAATCTTCTCGACTTAATTTTGTGAGAAGAAACCGGGTGTTACAATGTGCAGATATTAGGTTATGGTATATTGGCTCATATACCATAATGGCTAAGCCAATAAAAAGTCTTGAATTGCATTATCCAATGATCCAGTTTTCAAGACTTTTTATTGGCTTAGCCATTATGGTATATTAGCCAATATACCATAATCTACAAATATGGGAAGTGTACGTATCAGCTTAAAATTAAAAGGGAACTAAAAATTTAATAATTAAATTCAACATATTTGATAAAACAATTATTCCTCTCGCGCTTGTTGGATATGAAATGATTATAGCCAACTTGGCGCTATGCGCCTCGTTGGCTATCTATCATCTCACATCCAACGCGCGCTCGTGAAATAATTGTTAATTGATATTACAATATATTTGTTGCATTTGCACAACAATGTAAAAATATTTCTTAAAACTTCAACAGGCACAAAATCCCCCCTTTCAGAGAGAATAGTGATGAGTGATGTTTGGTGAGATAGTACAAACCTGAGATTAAGTCTGAGTGTTGACCAAGGCAAGATTTTTACTCTGTGTCCCATCATAGACATTTTATGCAGAGAGGGTTGTTGATTAAGCATGACCACATCATCATCTCTGATGTGTCTTTCCACCTTAAAATGCAAATACACTGACAAGCTTCTACCTCTACAGAAATTTATCTGATTACAACAAGTCTTCAGCAGGCTATGGTAGACAACAAAGTCTGCAAACTTTCAGAGTTTAAATTTGAATTAACTAACTATGATAAAATCTTGTCTAAATTCATTAGATAATTTTCACATTTCACACAGTCATTAGTTTTTAAAGAAGATGGTGGACAACAAAGACTGATCCCCATACCTTATAACCAAGCTGGAGATTAAGATCACTTTCTTGGGGGTGGGACCTAAGGTCAATGTGCTCTCCATTGTCCCTGATGATGTACTTAGCACCTGGATGTTGGTTATTTCCTCGGTGCACAAGTTCTTTCATGCTACAGTAAAGCAATAAGCATGAATTTGAAATAGCTAGTACCTCAAATGCTTTGAGAATGGTACCATCCATGTTACAAAAAGATCACTGACTTTGGTCTCTGCCATTCTCTCACATATAGCACAGAATTTCATAGTCTTACATTCCCATATTTAAGATTGCATTCAATCCTATTACACAAATGAGCGAAACTTAATTCTAATAATAACCTGTTAATGTTGAATGGTGTGACAATTTCAGGGAAAGTAAGATTCTGTGCAATGGTACATGGAACACCAACTTGATCAAGGGACAAGTTTGGGTCTGGAGTAATGACAGCTCTAGCTGAAAAGTTAACTCGCTTTCCCATCAAATTTCCTCTGATTCGGCCTTCTTTACTCTTCAGTCTCTGTTTCACTGATTTCAGTGGACGTCTAGACTTTTCCATGACCTTCAATAAGACAATGGAAAGTTTTGATCAGCACTGTAGTTCCCACAAATTGCTTTGAAATATTAATGTTTCAGAAGAAATTTCATTATCTACCATAAAAAATGCTACCTCACCCTGGGCAAACCAGGGATATCATTGTCTATTAGTGTTGCCACGTGATACTGGAGCATTTTGGTTTCCTCTGCAATGATGTGAGGTGCAGCACCATTGAGTTCATTTCTCCGAAGATTACTATTTGCCTTCACAACTTCTGAGAGCTTGTGAGTTAAGTCATCCTGGAAGATGAGAGACAACCAGCAAAAACATATATCAATAATATTAATGACCCAAAATCAAATTTTCGGAGGCCAATTTACAATCTCAACTTAGTTGATATTACCAAATTACCTTGTTACCCCCACTGACACAGCACCTCAGTTTTTTTAGAAACTTACCCCCTTTATTCAAAATCAAAGAAGCTTGTGGAAGCTATATGGAAAAGCCACTGCCTATTGTGACATATTGAAAACCTCACCATGACTTGATAATTTTACGTTTCTAAATACATTTTTTCTATAATGCTACCCAAACTTTAAACTCAAAAAAAAAAAATTCTTACAGGATCATACTGTCAGTGGTAATTACCTTACTCATTACCTGACAACGAGCATTATAACCACTTGTAACAATGGAAGGCCTTACAGCCAAAGGAGGAACTGGCAGAACTGTCACAATCAACCAGTCAGGACGTGCAAACTTGGGGTTCATTCCCAGAATATTGCATTCTTCATCAGAAATTCTTTTAAATATTTCATGTACATGCTCGGCTGTGAGTGGAATCTTTTTCTCTTGTGAGTCTTCATTCACCTCTTCCCATTCTGCTGTGAGATCAAGACCACTTCTTCTGATCTGTGGCTGGTTCCTACCACATCCACCATGACTCTGGAAAAATGAAAGTGTTAAAGAGAATGTGACATGTTAAAATCTCACTCCCAAGAACTGGCTTGCAATTCTCCTTCACACATGAACCTGCATAATTTTTGTACTTCCTTGCCATTAAGAAAGGAGAGGATCAAGCCCATAAAATCTTGTTGATATTGTCTTCTGTGTTGAATTTTAGCTGATATTATATGTATTAATGTATGTCATACTCTAAATTGAGCTTACATGGTAAAAAACGTTTCAATTGAACATCTGATATAGACACTGATTTACTTTAACAGGTCAAAAACACCAAAACAACTAGTAAACTGTCTAAGATCAACTTTAACCACCTTTTTTTCAGCCTCATCTAAGTCTACTGACTGTTGTTCATCATCAACAAAATTGCCAGCTTCACAGAGTTTTCTCCCTTTACACAAGTCATAGATGTCTTGTAGACGCTCCCTTGGTTGATTGTGAGACTTTGACACGATTTCTTTCACTTTAGGATTGTTCTAATAAAAATAACATAGCATGATTACCATCAGCAGGTTTTCGTTAGGTTTGTTGAGGAATTTGTGGTTGGCTCTCTTTCTGTTGTCAAAAATCATACATTGACGTGAAATTTTGACCGAAAAAAGTTAACTAATCCTAAAATGCAGCAGTGCTCCTATCACGAAGTCTTTCCTGGATTAGATGCGTGAAAGCACAGGCGGCCCAAGCTCTCTTTAAGAACCACACAAGGAATACAATTTGCATATCGATTTATAATTTGTATGGGATTTTCTACAAGATATCCATGGAGATAGTTAAAAGTGAAAATATTAAATAAAAATGGCTTACCTTATTCTATACGTGTGTTGTTTGCTCCTGGTGTCGTTATTCAACTTTCGCTTCTCTTTAAGAAGAGAAAACCAAGATTAAAAAAAACCGCTTAAATCAAGTTACATGGGTAAACATGTTAACGACACCAGGAGCAAACATCACACGTATAGAATAAGGTAAGCCATTTTTATTTAATGTTTTCACTTTTAACTATCTCCATGGATATCTTGTGGAAAATCCCATACAAATCCTTATAAATCGATATGCAAATTGTGTTCCTTGTGTGTTCAGTCTCAGAGAGAGCTTGGGCCGCCTGTGATGAAAGCTGATCTATTTTCCCTTTTCAACATAAGTTAAAATAATTTTGGATAATCAAATTGACACCTTTGAGTAATGAGAATGAAATCCATCCCTGAATCAAGTTAAAAAGAAAAATAGTCGAACTAGGAAAAAGAAGAATTGCAATGAATATAAACTAAATTTTCAAGATATTGAGCTAAAATCCACCACACCACCACCGCTGGGGAGATACGCTCGCCCCATTTTTTTCAGCCGAGCGGCCAGTCAATCAAGTTGCGGACGAAGCAAGTCTTACCCCGTCGACGAGGAGTTTTGAGCAATAGAAGCAGACGCATCTTAAACATTTGATTATCATCTTGTAAAAGCCGACGTGAAACACCGGTCTTGCCAGTTCTATATGTCCGAAGTGACCGGGACATTCAGTCATGTTTCCAGTACAAGTTTGGCAACGAGAAAAACAGTCGATTGTTCCCTGTCGCGGATCCATCAAACCCCCCAGCTTTGGCTTTCCTCCCTCCATCGTTTCGGAGTATTTAACGCCACCTTCGGTGGTGACTGACATTCGTTTCTGTTGAAAAATATAAAATTAGTAATCAAAACAACTACCGTAACTAAGTCGACATGAGAACCACAGCATTTGAACTTTCATGAACTTTCGACGAAGAACGTGTCAGAACAAGAAAACTCTAAAATACTTGATTGAAACCTATTTTCAAGTATACTCACTATTTCATCTGGACTCAACACTCCAAACTGGACCAGCTTTACATCCCGTAAGGGAGCTAGTGACCCAGATGCGAAAGCCATAACTATGCTTCAACCAAGGTGGCCGAAGCGTTGAGGTAATTGCTGAAACGTTTTCACTTCCTTGCGAAAGATTCTCACTCCTGGCACGACTTCAATTCCCCAGTGTGAGTGTAAGCTCTGTCCACTCGCTAATTCCGTTTTTTTTAGTTCGGCAATGAGCAACCTTTCCCACGTTCACTCACGTACGACAACCCGGGTGAGATAAGGTCTACTACCGCGGTGCGTGTTGAAGTAATTGTCGTTTCGAGCTCATTTCCATATGACCTTAGACCACAAGCAGTCCTTCCTTTCCGGCGAAGTCCGTCACGCGAGTCGAAAAATTAAATCAGTGAAAAAAACTTGCTGTTACCGCGCCGCAGGGAACTCTTGGAGTAACGCTGATGCACCGCAGGAGCTGTGCGAGCGAGGCGCTCGAAAAGTAAGGTCCCTACTTGCCTCAACTTTGATCTTCGAAAGCGAGAAGAACTTTTGGTGGAAGCATAAAATTGGAAAAAGAAGGGAAAAGAGAACAGGGGTGGAAATTTTAAGAACAGGCTGTCGAGGTGACATCCACATTTCTGGAAGCACAAGCCTCCCAGAAACTTTGAATATAAAAAAATTGGCCAGCCATTGTGTGTGATCCTTCCCAAAACAATATTGTGTCGGTAAGCGTGCAATTCTCGTCTTAAAAACTACAACAAAAAGACTTTCAAAGCTGAACCCCATTCTGTTACCACTCTGAAATCGATAAGTTAGCCACAGAATTTTTCTGTTCTTAATCCGTGTTAATTGACCCAACCTGTCTACACCAGCATTTTGAAAAAGACTTTTCAACAAAGCTTCAAAAGAAAAAATAGCAACTAGCACAAAGGAAAATATCAAACAGAAACAAATCAGAACCAAAAGCAAAGTGATAAATGCTACGGGTCAGGAGTGGGAAACTCAGCAGTGATCAAGTCACGATTAGTTTGAGTTTTGTATTTGATTGGTTGAGAGAGTGACACCAGTTTCCTTGGCAACAGATCCTTGCCGATAGTCAATTTGAACTGGAAGTGATGAATATCCAGTTTGAACTGGCTATCACCAGTTTAGAGTCGCTATCTTTAGTTACCCAAAAAAGTGTTGATAACATGATCCTTAATGAGTATCATATATTGTTTGGTTGCGAAAGTGGCAGATACTCTGGCCGAGTAGTTATCTAGTAATCGTAAATCGAGAGGTGCGTAATCGATCGTTCGAGCAACGGTTGGAACTTTTTCCTTTAAGTTATTTCATTCACTCATAACTTAATCAATCCATCCAATAATTCATTTGTTTAAATTTATTTTGAGTCAGTACATTTTTTTATGTCTTTTTTTTGGTTCTTGTTCTAGTCGTCTTCAGATTAATTATTGATGGTTTGGCGTTTTTCAAACCCATGTTAAAGTAGTAGTGAACTTGTCAATGTGAGTAAATGAGCAGTTTTATTAAGAAAAGTGCATCTTTATTGACTCGGAATTGATTTGAAAACAGTCTGTTGCTGTACATGAACCGACCTATTTCCCAATTAGCAGCTCAAGTGTTCACCCTTCACACCGTAACATCAGTACGTACATTTTCAATATCGTCCTCTATTCCCATGGCACTGAAAAGGAGATTTATAATGGGAATTGAACTGAGTGAAACGAAATTTGGTCTGAAATCGCATGCGTGATTTCAAAATCGATCGAGCGGCTAACGGATGGGTGAAATAAGAATGAAAATATTATATGTTCGTGGCAAAAACTGCATTGATTCTGATTTAAATTTTACCGTAGATTTATCTAACTCATAAAAGGTTACATTCACTGATACGAATTTTTTTCCTTTTTTCAGATGTCCCACTACAACTGAATAAAAGACGGCTTTCTAGATCAATCCAATGAATGTGTGTTTCGTGTTTGTTCAGTCACACGGTTGACTGCTACAATACAATACAATACAATACAATACAATACAATACAATACAGTACAATACAATACATATATCTTCTTAACCAAGCGCGAGGGCCGTACTGGGAGAATATCGGCCTGAGGTCTTGACAGTACGGACCGAGCGCAGCGAGGTCCGTACAAAAAAAGACCGAGGGCCGATATTCTTCCAGTACGGTCCCGAGCAAGCTTGGTTAATAAGAGATTTATTATACGACTGAAGTTCAAAGGGACACAAGTGCGGTATCATTCGGGACCATTCGGGACAGTGCCCGGTCCAATACT